CAAGTATCTAATATTTGAAATGTTTCCTTTCCAAACAAAATCAGTAGTACTTTGGATGATGGGTATTTTTTAGTTCAGAGATTAAAGCAAACTTTCTCTAAGAAAAAAATTTCCTTAACATATATAAACTTGAGCAAATCAAAGTAACAGAGGTTTGCTTGTTTGCCTTTAATTATATTAAACTTAGTGACACTTTTGTTAATAGGTGGGTTTTGAAAACTTCTCAAAGTTATACCAATCTGGCTAAAAGTTTCTTCTTTGAAATTGGTTCTGTTTAGTAAATGAAGATGAGCAGCAAAATGAGAGACAAGAAAGACTGGATTATCTCTAAGCAGAATATACTTCTTCATAAGGTAGTTGGTTAATACTCATTTGGGGTCTTTAAGCCAGAGTTTGGATAAGCTGGTTGGTTGTTTTTGGAGATAAATGCCTTTGAACTTAGGCTGCTAATCAAAATGACAGTCCAGAATAAACCACCGATTGCTTTGTCACACTATTGCATACAACATGCTCTTAAAACATTACCTTGACTTTTATTAATTTCTAAAAAAATTTATAATTTATTTGATGTAAAGAGATTATTTTTAGTTATAATTAAGATTTATATAATATTCCTCTTGTGCTTTAAATTTTTTCTTTTCTGTTTTCCTCATTCGCCTTGCATGGTTCTTATCCCTCTTTTCCTCTGGGTCTTCCACAGAGGATCCAGTCAATTTTCTTCTATTACATTTTAGCAATACCAGTTAGTGTAGCATTTGGATTAGCTTGTTTGTGCCAAACTTGCCTCTCTCCATTGCCTTCTGGGTCATTCACAATATTGATTCTTCCATGATTGTAGCTTTCCAAGATTTCAACCAAATAGCAAAACTTGAAGAGTATCTGTATGGAAAATAAGGGTTTGGGCACTGAGGATAATGCAGTTTGTTCAGTGCACTATAACCTATTATCTTTGCCCTATTCCATTCTCAACCCATTTCTCGTCCCTCTAAAATGCTTGTCCCAAATAGATGTATTTGTTGTTGGTATTCAGTCATTCAGCTGTGTCCAACTCTTCATGAATGGACCATAGCACACCAGGCTCACTTTCTCTCAAAGTCTGTCCAAGTGTGAAGTTCATTGTTTCCATGACACTGTCTATCCATTTCATCCTCTTCTGTCCCCTTTTCCTTTTGTCTTCAATCTTCCCTAACATCAGGGTCTTTTCCAATGAGTCCCATCTTTTCATTGTGTGGCCAGAGTATTTAAGATTCAGCTTCTGTATTTGACCTTCCAATGAATAGCCTGAATTAATTTCTTTAAGTATTGGCCAATTTGATATCCTTGTTGTCCAAAAGTCTTCTCCAGCACCACAGTTTGAAAGCATTGATTCTGTGGTGCTTAGTGTTCCTTATAGTCCAACTCTCATAGTCACACATTGCTGCTAGAAAAACCATAGGTTATGTGGACGTTTATCAGCAAGTTGATGTCTCTGTTTTTTAGTATGCTATCTAGATTTGCTATAGTTTTCATTCCAAGGCTTAAGTGTCTTTTAATTTTATGGCTACAGGCACCATCTGATCTTTGAGCCCCAAAATATAAAATCTGACACTCTATTCCTCATACATGGCATTCTATCTCCTGACTTTTTGTTTAGCACTAGCCATCCCCCATGCCTGGAATGGACTTATTATAAAATGGACTCTTATAAAATCTCTTACTTGCATCAAGACCCAGTTCAAGCACCACTTTCCATCCTATCAACAAGAATAGGGAATAGGTGTTGTGAGACAGGATGCTAGTAGAGCTAGGGCAGGTTGAGTTTACCCTACCCCCTTTTACACTACTCACTAAGTTTCTGTTTTCTGCCTCAAGGAAGCATCTGCCTCTTAGTTCTTTGACTGACATAAGCTCGATGAATGACTGAGTTCTTCCCTAGTAGATTACCACTCATTTCCTTCCAGATTGTCTTTGACTCATTGCTCATCTATTTCCAGGGGAGAGGTAAAACCCTTCATGATATACCTTAATTACATTATTAATAATAATGTTCATTATAATAACTATCATTTGTCTAGATTTTCAAAGTACTTTACAAATATTACCTTATTTTGTCCTCATGACAACTCTGTATTATCATCCCTGTTTTACAGGAGAAGAAACTGAGGCACAGAGAAATTAAGTGAGTTTCCCTGGGTCTCACAGCTAGGGATTGAGTGACATGATTTGAACTTGGGTCTTTCTGACTCCAAGTCCTATGCCGCTCAACTGTATTTTGGTAAAAGGAGAATAATACATGTAATTTTTACTCTGAGAAAGGGAAGTGTAGTTCTCATACAGCTTTAATTTCAGGCAGTAGAGTTTTTTCTCAGTTGAAAATGTAAATAACATGAATATGATATAATATTTTTACCCCTTAAGGAAACTGATAAGGAGTAGCCAGACTGGTAGGAGGAGAATCCGGGGAGAGCAGCATCAGAGAAACCCAGAGGAGAAAGATTATCCAGGAGGAGGGGGTATTATATTGGGGATGAAAACTAAGAAAAAACCGTCAGATTTAGCAATTTAGATCATTGGTTGGGTAAGTAGTCAAAGGACATGCATGAATAAGCAATTCTTTTTTTAAAAAAAATTTATTATTTTTTTTTTTTTTGGCTAGGCAATGGGGTTAAGTGACTTGCCCAGAGTCATACAGCTAGTAAGTGTCATGTGTCTGAGGCTGGGGATTTGAACTCAGGTCCTCCTGACTTCGGGCTGATGCTCTATCTACTGCACCACCTAGCTGCCCCATGAATAAGCAATTCTTAAAAGAAGAATTGTAAACTGCATCCAAACCCTTCATAACCTGGCCCTTGTGCTACCTTTTGAGTCTTTTTATACTACTAGACCCACCTCCATGTACTTTTCTATCCAGTGTCACTGTCTTTTGTTTTTCTGTGCATTTTCACTAGCTGTCCTGTATGCTTGAAATTTTCTCCCTCCTCATCTCTGCTTCCTGGCTTCCCTGGCTCCCTTCAAGCCCCAGCTAAAATCCTACCTTCTACAAGAAGTCTTTCCTGATCCCTCTTAATGCTAGTGATTTCCCTCTGTTGATGATCTTCAGTTTGTTTTGTTTATTTCTTGTTTGTACGTAGCTGTTTTGTGTTGCCTCTCCCATTAGATTCTGAGTGCTTTGAGACCAGGGACTGACTTTTTGTCTTTCCTCATATCTCCAGTGGTAATTGAAGTATTGTGGCACATAGTAGGTGCCTAATAAAGCTTGTTGCCGTGACTAACAACCATACGAAAGATTGCCCAAACCCTTTTAATAAGAGGAATGCAAATCAAAATAACTCTGAGGTTTTAACCTCATGTGCAGGAAATTGGCAAAGAAGACAGATGGAAACAGTACATTCTGGAAGGTCTGTGGGAAGACAGGCACACTTAACACTGTTGGGGAAGCTGTAAATTTGACTAGCCATTATAGAAAGCATTTATGACCAGATTGTTTGACTGAGAGATCCCACCCCTCAACGAATACCCCAACAAAGTCAAAAGAAAGGTCCCACATACACCTATATGTTCATTGCAGCTCTTGTTATGGTAGAGAAGAAGTGGATACAAAGTAATCGCTGATCGCCTGGGGAATGGGTGGACAAATTGTGGCAAATGAATGAAGTGGCATGTTTCTGTTCTATAAGTCAATACATATGAAGAATTCAGAGAAGCATGAAAATATATATAAACTTAGCATGAACTGTTGCTGAATGAAGTAAGCAGAAGCAGGGAAACAATACAAGATAACAGAAGACCAAAATAAAGCTGAAAACTGCAATTATAAGAACCACCCTTGCCCCTGGAAAAGAGATGAAAAAATGCAACTCTCCTTTCCTTGCAGATATGGGAAACTTTTGGGTGTGGAGTATTACGAATATGTAGAATGTGTTAGTTGGTGTGGCTGAATTGCTTCCCCACCACCCTCCACCTTCTTAAACCCTTGTTAAAAAAGAATCTCATTCTTTTGATTTTGTTTTATTATTTCTTGGTGTCTTATAACATCATTTGCTTCCCCTTGCCAAATTCTAGTTTTCAAGGAGTTATTTTCTTCCATAAGATTTTGAATCTCTTTTTCTAATTGGTGTACTTTCTTTTCATAATTTTCTTAATTTTCTTGGATTTCTTTCATTTTTCTCCTAATTTTTCCTAGATCTCTCTTATTTGATTTTTAAAATCCTTTTTAAGCTCTTAGAAATACTTGTTGTATTTCTTAAGTTCAGAATAAAGGAAATAAAATTTTTTAAAAAACTAAAAAACAAAGGAAGGATCCCTGAATAGAAGAGGGATAAGGGAGAAATATATTCAGAAATGAATATAAGAAAGTAAAAGGCATCATTAAAACATTTTTAAAAGAGATCACTACTCACATACTTCAGAGATTATTTAATCCATTTATTCCCAATGTGGGCAACAAATGTTGGGCATGATCTTGGGGGGAGAGGGGTGGATGGGAAGAGGAAGAGTGGTGAAACATTAGTTGTACAAAGTCCATATATGGAATTACCAAAAAGCAGTTTCCTTTTGTGAACTGAATAAATAGTATGTATCACAATTTGTATAGTACTAATTTTCAAATGTATGTCAATACTGCTGTGATTAATAAAATTTAAATCCATTTAAAAGCAGAAAAAAAAGATCCTTGGTAAACTTGGAAAGAGTTGATTGTTTTTAGTGATAAGATCAGAAGCCATACTGCAAAGGATTGAGAAGTGGAAGCAGTGTAGACAGCTTTTATCCATATGATTGCATAAAAGAAAGATCTAAAAAAAAAGTAACAGCTATGGGTATTAGTATACTTCAAATGTGTAAACCTGTCTATCATTGAGAAAATAGTGTGATAATTTTCTGAATGTCTTCAAGTTTTATGTACAAGTAATCAAATATTGACAATTTAATTTCTCATAAAGATGATAAAAACAAAAATGAAACTGATGATTTTCTTGAATATTTAAATGTACATTTGTTTACTCTGTTTTTCTTTTTTCCAGTTACTATCGCTGCACAACAAGAAGAAGGTAAGCATTTTTTTTAATTAGTTATGTTTAAATAATTTTGGCATGTTAAGGGCATACTCCCCTTTAATTTATGCTATAGTAAGTACACTAATGTATATATTTGTTCTAAAGGGAGAACAATACATATGTTTCAAAGGTAAATATTAAAAAAAAATAATACTGTTGAATATTAGGCTTTTTTCCCATGGTTGGTTCTCTAAATGGAAATTAGTAATAGAATTTTTAAAGGTTACTATAGCACTCTTACTCTATGTTTACTTATATAAATACTTAACCTAATTTCCCTCTCCTTAAGCCTCTTACTATATATAGTAATAGTAGTAGTAGTCCTTTAGTTTTTCAAAGACTGATAATAATAAGGTCATTTTGAATCTAGCTATTATGAAAGAATAATTAATTGGCACATGGTTGAGAAAAGGTTAACTGAATTGCTATGTATGGGGGCCAATGTATTTTTGCCAGTGAAAAACACTACCTTTGCATGGGATATAAAAGATATTCACCTTAGGAACTCTTTTAGGTTTGCATAATTATATAAGTTGATCTCTCATTTTTTGAAGAAATACTCTATGTTATCTGACTCAGGTCTTTCCTTTAGTAATTAGACTAATTATTAGTCACAGTGTTGTCACATTTTGAAAAGGGACCTTATAAAAATAAAAAGTTAAATAAAGTCAAGTAGGATGAACAGATTGAAAGAAGAATCTTTCCCAAAATGTCATATAAGCAGAAAGCAGATTTCAGGAACGGTAAGAAACGAGAGATTGTGAAAATAAAATGGTGATTACAGAAATAGAGGAGTTTGGGAAAAAGCAATGGGATATTGTTAATGTTTGAATCTGTGCTCTCTCTAGTGCTGTAGATTCCAACCCATCATCACAACCTATCATCAATACTCTCTCCAGTGGTAAGATCACAACTCATTTATTATGGCTCTTGCCCATAACCTTTCATAAATCCTTCACAGAAGGTCCACAAGGTCCACCCAACATTTTGGAGGCTTTCCTTTAGTTCTTTTGAAATAGTGTAATAATAATAATAATAATAGTTATTATTATCATTATAACTAGCATTTATGTAGTACTTTAAGGTTTACATTTACCAGTATTATCCTCACAACCACCCTATGAGATAGGTACTCTTGTTATCCTCATTTTACAGGAAAAAGCAGACAGATTAAATGACTTATCTAGTGTCGCACACCTAGTGTCCTGAGGCCAGATTTCAACTTGAGTCTTCCTAAGTCCAGTGCTCTATTTATTATGCCACATATCAAACCACTTCTTTTTCTAATTATAATAATATTTCTCATATTCTTTATAATACATTCTCACTCAGACTTCATACCTTTCCATTGCCCTTTGGGTTACCCACAGCATTAATTCTTCAGAGACTATCATATTTCATAACTCATATCCATATAGCATCTCATGAGGCATGTTTTTGTTTAAAAGGTAGGCCTTTATTTCAGGAAGAAACTTGGAATCTTTAAAAGCACAGTGCTTTTCTCAAAAGCAGGCTACATTATTTCTGGAAGCAGAAGGCCTGGCTTCAAATCCTGCTCCTGACCCTTCCTACCTTGTGTGACTTTGAACAAGTCACTTCCTGGGCTGCAGTTTCCTCATCTATAAGATAAACTTGAGGGCATTGGAGGGTCTCTTCCCACTCCAAATCTATGATCTTGTGATCCATCCCTGTTCAATTCTGGACCCAGTTCATCGTCCATGTTAGTGTCTGTCCAAAGTATATGCATTGATATACCAGTTCTATGGGTTGTCCCTTTAACAGCAGCCTTCATCCACTTGATTTTTCCTGTATGATAGACCAAATTCCTTTGAGTGATTCTGGATTTCATTTAGGAGGATCTGAAGTATTCTAGAGCTTGATTTAGTCAGCATAATGTTATCCACAAAAAAGCATCTGGAGGATTTCAGAGTCTATAGGAAATTTCTCTTCTCTTTGCATGACGATGACAAACACATTAGGAAGCTTTTAGGTCCTGTTTTTATGCCTGTTTTTATGCTCTGTTAAATCTTTCAAGGAATTGGGTATAATTCTTTTGACGTATGCATAAGAAATATTTTGTTAAAGGAGAGACATTGAAAGCATTTTGTTTTACTGAGTCAAATGCTTTTATTATAATCAGCAAACATCCCAGTGGGCTCTTTTACTTGTAAATTTCAATCAATTGTAATTGTAAAAATACGATCTGCTATGGAATCATTTGCTAAGTTCTGTTTGTTCCCTTCTCTTACATTCGTTTTTTCCTGTTTTATTCTTTTATTCTAAACCTAAGAAACATCTAATAAAATGATCATTTCAATATGCATTGTAGAACATGAAAGGATTATATTGAAACTAAATCTTTTATGTGGAACTTTTTAAGTATATCATAAATTCAAAATATGACTTTTAAAGCTATTCTCATATCTGATTTCATTTGTTTGTTTTTGGCTAGGCAATGGTGTTAAGTGACTTGCCCAGGGTCACGCAGCTAGTAAGTGTCAGGTGTCTGAGGCTGGATTTGAACTCAGGTCCTCCTGACTCCAGGGCCAGTGCTCTATCTACTGCACCACCTAGCTGCCCCTCTTATTTGATTTCTTCTGGCCTTCTGTTCTTGTTTTAGAGAGGGGGCTCATCATCCCACCATTTCCTCCCAACTTCTCTCTCTATTGAAAAAAAAAAAACCTGTGAAACTCTTGTAACAAATATGCATAGTCAAGAAAAACAAATTCCTATATTTATCATATCCAAAAATGTATGTTTCATTCTAAATCTTCTCTAATGCCTTCACTAAGCATGCACTCAATTCACATACAGATTATTTTCATAAAGATTTTGTAGATATTTTAAAGTAAGAATGAGTTCATAGTTACATATTCTCCATAGCCTTTTTTTGGACATTAGGTCTGTGATTTTTTTTCTAAGTGTTTGCGATATTAATAATAATTGCTTGTTAATATTAATGTTATCCTGCTTGTCAGAATAAAAATATTTTGTTTGCATCTCTTAGCTGGCAGAGTATAAAAACAAATGTAAATTGGGATGAGTCATTTCACAGAACAACAGAATTTCAGAGTTGAAAGAGACCCCAGCAGCCATCTTGTCCAGCCTATGTAAACACGATTACCCTCTATAACATACCTGACAAATGGTCATCTAGTCTCTGTTTGAAGACCTGTGCTGAGGATGAGCCCACTATTTTACAAGATGGCCTATGCCACTTTTGGATAGCTCTCATTGTTAGAAAGTTTTTTCTTACTTCAGGCTCTTTGTAACTTTCACCATTTTTTCTTTTCTGTCCTTGAATCTTCTCTGCATCTCTAGACTGCTCTCGATGGCTCCCTTTGAATATTTAGACTTTCAGCCCAGTCTTGGGCTGACTTCTGTAGTATTTTAGTCCATGTGATCCTACCTAGCATTGTTGTGGAATCTTTGAATTTACTTTCCCAAAATCTAGGGTAAATGTTGGATTTTTACCTGGCTTTCCTCTCCTATATCACAGATTTTAATAAGTAGTGGACTCTGTTCACCATGGTTTACATCATTTTCACCCCAGCAGTTAGTTTCTTCCTGTTGGAAGAGAATCAGAGCCAGAAGAACTCTGAAAGGTAGACAGAATCAAGTAGCTTATATAGAATCAGACTTATTCTAGGTGGTTACTTTGGTTTAAACACTGGAAATACTACAGAACAGAAGACAGTAAATTGTGTCAAGAGCCTTTGGGATATTCACAGAACAAAATAGAGCCCATTATCTCAAGGTTACCTAGCTGTACAGTTTTAATTATGCAACTTTTATAACCAGCGGCTTCTGATTCTTGTATACTCTTGCCATCTCTGCTGCATGCGTTAGCTGATAAAGCCTGCTTGATTTTTCTTCTATACCAGGGAACATCCATGGAGCGCATACATATGGGGATAATTGTGGCTAGGGCAAATCACAGTTCCAGTCTTGCAGCCACTGATGTCTTCTGTCAATCTCATTGTATTTGCTACTGGTCTCATGGCTGCTGAGCTGCTCTTAATCATCTTTGGGCTTCAACTCTTCAATCTCTTCTAGGCCACCATTCTACCATTGTTAGGTTATATCTGACAGGGGTGGGGAACCTGCAGCCTCAAGGCCAGAAGTGGCCCTCTAGGTCCTTAAGTGGGGCCCTTTGACTGAATCCTTATTTTGCAGAACAGATTCCCTTCATAAAAGGATTTGTTCTATAAAACTTGGACTCAGTCAGAAGGCCACACCCAGGACCTAAAAGGCTGCAGATTTCCCACCCCTGGCACTGCAGGTAGTAAGGGATACTAAGGGTTTACCACCTTTATGGGAGAGCTCTAAAGCTCTTTCAGTGCATAGCCTAGGGCAATGAGCTACTGTGTTCAGCCAGGTAACCCCCCCATCCCCACCCTCAAGTCCTAGGATATGATATATATAGTTTTGTATATAAATTTATATTCATATATATAAATTTTGTATTGACAAATATAATTCGGCAAAAGCCCCAGGGTAAGATTGTTTGTTCTTTTTGGCTGCTTTTTTACAGATCCAATTATCCAGTTTGAATTTAGAGAATTCCTTCCCACTGCTATCAAATCTTTGATTGCCATTCTGTCTCCAAGCCCATTTTTGGAGACTCCACTCAACAGTACCCCACCAGAGCTGTATGGGAGCTCGGTCAACAACTTGCTTCCAGATCAGCATGTAGATAAACCTAGGAACAAGAAAAAAGGGCTTGTTGAATTGTTTAGGGACTTGCCTTCACTCTGTATTCCTTCCTTTATTATGCATATCTGCCAGGAAAAATTGCTGACTTTCAAAGGGCTCAAGTGTTGGTCTCCATACAAATCATTGAAAGAAATATGGAATAATCTATACAAAGTGAGATGGAGGAAAATCAGCAGTACCTCAACTGTATACATATTGACTATTATAACTATATAAAGGAAGGAAGGAAAACAGGTCCAAAAGTGGTCAGCAAGCCTGTAAGGAGATTCAAAACAGAATAACTTCTTTGTTTATTTAATTTATTTCGATTCTGCCATGTTAAAAACCAAGGGTTTGGGGTAAGATTTTAACTCTCTGTATTGTCTGCTTATTTGGTTGTTTTTGTTGATGGTTGCTATATTAATTTTTTCTTTCAAAAGTGTAGCAGGCCTATAATAGGCTAAGTTACAGAGGTTCAGAAATGCACGAAATGTTGGCTTCGTTGCACTCCCAGACATCTGTCCTGGGCAGAATGCCTTACTTGAAATGTCTACTTGGAAGAAATTGGCCATTACTTTCCAGGGTTTTTTGGTACTTAGTGTTTAGCCCTTCTGTCCCTCCCTCTTCTTTGCTCCTTCTCTCATCTCTCAGGCTTCTGCTAGAAGTCTACTAAATCTTCACTCTTAGTCCATTTAAAATTTAAAGACTGGGCATTCAACAGCTGGGCATTCAGCAGCCCTTGCTGGAAATTTCTCTCATTCTCTGATCTGAAAATTTGCTCCCAGCAAATCTAGGAATAATTGAGATCATAAATGTCTCATTCACAGCTGTTTTCAAAGTCTTTCTCTCACCCCACCCCACCCCCTCTCCTCTTTAGTTAGACTGCTAAAAGTTCTTGAGTTGGGCCCATTAGTCCCCAAATATACCTTTCTTTGTGGAAATAGTTTCTTTGTACTGTGCTGGGTTTTTGTTTTTGTGTTTTGTTTGTTTTAGTCTCAATGTTCTTTGCTCTAATGTTGAGCATCTAAATAAGAGACTTATAAATTCCTTTATGTCATATCATATGTCTAGGTCCTAAGTGAACATTTTTATCATCCAAGAGGAGCCTCTTTCTTCTTCCTTCTCTACTTTTAATAACAATAATAATAATAATAATAATAAACCTATGATGTGGTTTATTGTACCCAATTAGGGTGGATTTATTGTCGTAACAACCTCTCTCCTCCATATAGGCTAGTTTTTCATAAGGCTAGCTTAATTGTCCATCCTAGACTAAAGCTTGAATTGCTGACACAGCTACCTGGTTATCTAAGCCATAAAAAGCCCAGCACAGGTCAGACCTCATGGTCTTCCTACTGCCATGAGGGACAGTGAATCTAAAGTTGTGTCTTGATAGGGAGAACAAGGAGAGCGCTATCCAAATGAACCAATGTTGTAACTTTGCTGAATATCTTTCCTATGCTGTTGTTGAGTAAACTTCCATTTGCAAAATGTTATATTTCATTCTAATACCAAGGCTGAACCACCTCACTGGTTCAGAATCAAGCCTGGCCCACAACATCTTTCAACTGCAATTTCTTTGGAGCATTCAGATTGAAATTGATCATATCCTACTGCTTTTATCTGTTCCCTACTAGGCATCTAGGTGATGTGGTGGATCAGGTGCTAGACCTGGAGTCATAAAGACATGACTTCAAATCCAACCTTAGACACTTATTAGCTATGTGGCCTGGGGCAAGTCTCTGAACTTCTGTTTGTTTCAATTTCCTCATCTGTAAAATGGGGATAATAATGGTACCTACCTTCCAGGATTACTGATGATCAAATAAATGAGATAATATTTGTAAAGCACTTAGCACAGTGCCTGGTATATAGTAGGTATTACATAAATGCTAGCTATCATTGTTTTTATTATCCTTGTGCATTTCCCCTGGATATTACTTTTTTTTTTTTTTTTTTAAGGCAGTTGGGGTTGCCCAGGGTCACACATCTAGTAAATGTCAAGATTTGGTCTGAGACCAGATTTGAACTCAGTTCCTCCTGACTTCAGAGCCGGTTCTCTATACACTGTGCCACTTAGCTGCCCCTTGGATATTACTTTTATAAGGTTTATGATTCCTCTTTTTTGGCTCGAAGCTTAGATCTGCTTCTTTTCCTGGATCTGAAGTTGGAAAAGGTGGGTTAAATCTTAGCTCTGTTATTTGCTTATACAAGTCTCTTAACCTTTTTTGGACCTCAGTTTTCTCATCTCTAAAATGAAGGCCTTATTATAGTAAGGAATCCAGGTCCAAATCCTGTCATTCAAGAATGTGAGTTACATCCCTTGCTTGAGATCCAGTCTAATGATCTTGATCCCTGACTAACCTTATCTCCTGTGTAAAAGCGAATGTATGGGTTATTCTAGATGGCCACTGAGGTCCCATCCAATTCTCAAATTCTGTGATCTTGTGAAAAGATTATCTTTTTTACATATCTACGTGGGCTTTTCTAAACTTCTTGGTTACCTCCCACTGTACTTAAATGTACTTTTAGGTTATCTACCATATCTGCTTGGGCTTCTCTAAACTACTTACTTCCATTGTTCTTATATATTTATTATAGTGTATACTTCTTATCTCCTCTACTAAATTGTAAGCTCCTTGAGGGCAGAGATAGTTTGTTTTTGTTTTTGTTTTTGTTTTTGTTTTTGACTTATCTCTAAATGTCGCCATCATATTTCAGTGTCTTTCTCTTAGTTTGATGTTTCTTGAATTGAATGTCCCAAGCAGTAAAAGTCTGTTGTTCTGCAAACCTAAAATGATGGCTTTTTTTGTTGTGACCAAATTTAAATTATATTAAAACAATTTCCTTGAAGTCTGCATGTACTTTCTTCCTACTAAAAGAAAATCTCTGACTTCAACTAATTCTTCTTGAATCTTCAAAGAGATCAATGACAAGCTTCCGTAAGTAGAAGTAGAAAAGACGAATACTTCTCACATAAGAAGGGAAATCTTTTAAAGTTATTTTATGTGCTTCCTTTAATGGGCCTCTGTAATTTTGTTTTCCACACTTGGTTTTTTTGGTGCTCCTCTAGCTAGAGGAACAATTTTCACATAAGGCTTGCTATGGAGTTGTTGAAAGTTCAGAGACCCCCTAATGCGATTTAGGGGCTCAGGGGTCCTGGGACCCCAAAATCACAACAGGCGGGTTCTGCCCAAAAGAATTTGACCCAAGCCTTCTTTCAGCCAAAAACAAGGTGGACCTTATATACAGAAAGACTGTGGGAATGACCTAGGATTGGCCACTAAGCTGGGGTGAACAGAACTCCTGGGACCTAGGACCATGGGAGAATGGAGCCTAGCTAGGATTAAGGGTGGGAAATGGCCTGGGGCCATACATAGGGAGGAAGCCACATCGAAAGGCCAGTTGATGGGAATATAGCCTCAGGCAAATGCCAGAGATTTGGTCTAGTGGGAAAGTCTGGGGTTTTTCCTTTCTGAGGCCCAGATCCCAATCCCATCACCCTTAGCCCAGTATTTGTTAACTCCTAGCTCAGGCTTTCATATTCATCTCAGTTGCACCATAATTATGTCTGTGAATTGACTTCTCACCCTTAATGTTATACAATCATTGTATCATTCAGAATACCTAATCCTCCCCTGCTGGGCTCCATGTACCACAGTTTGGGATTGTGTATTTCCAGTTCTAAGTTGATCTGCTAATAGGTCTACCTGACAAGGCCCAAACCACATTGCTGCCATCATATTCCTGGAGTGCACTCAGGGTCTTCCTCCCATATATATTTAAACTCTAGACATTTCTTATTCCTGATACAACTGCTTGTACTCCATTTTCTTTTTCCTTGCAAGTTTAAGGTTTTAGTCTGCCTGTTCCCTTGTCTAGGGTATTCAGACTAATCATGTGGGGGCAGCAAGGTGGTACAGTGGATAGAGCACCGGTCCTGGAGTCAGGAGGACCTGCGTTCAAATCCGGCCTCAGATACTTACTAGCTGTGTAACTCTGGACAAGTCACTTAACCCCATTGCCTAGCGCCCCCCACCCCCAGATCAAAGTAATCATGTGGAAGGCCTTAGTTTGCCTTTTAAACTCTTAGAGCTTTTCCTTCTTTCTCTAGTCATGATACTCAGGAAAGGGAGGTAGGAGGGAGAGAGAGAGAGCGCGCGACCTGGATGCCTTGCTACTAAAAATAAAAATTCTTCACCTACCCTATCCCTAGCTTTTTTCCTTCCAACCACTGTGGAATACTTTCCCACTTCAGTCTTTTATTTCGCCCTTATTGTTAATTGTTTAATTGCTTTGATTTTGAGCTAGGTAGAATTTGATTTGTTGTAAATTACTTGTTTATTTTTTAGCATTTTGTTGCTATAAGTAGCTTGAGAGAGTATCCAGAGAAATTTCTTAAAGGATCTATAATAAAACAGGACTTTAAAAAAATTATTTGAACAAAATTGTAATTACAGTTTTAAATAAAAGTTTAAATTAATTTCAAATATTGAAGTATTAGATAGGAATCTTCACTTTGGAGAATTAGAAGATTCCATTTTATCACTGAGACTCTGGCATTGAAAAATTCATTGGCTAAAAAATAGATCTAACTTGTAGTGCTTTTTTGTCCAGTATATCAGGTCTGTACTTTTTGTCTGCCTTAGCCTTGGACAGATGAATGCCAAATTCGTAAAAAAAAAATATATATATATATATATATATATATATATAAATTAGATAAATAAATAAAAACACTCTTATCCTCTAAGTAATGCTTCATCAGTAACTGATAGAATACTTGGGTACATATCATGCTGCTGCTCAAATACCATAATAATGCAAGATTTATTTTTTTTTAAGGCAGTTGGGGTTAAGTGACTTGCCCAGGGTCACACATCTAATATTTCTTGTATAAAGTTATAAAGAAGCCCACTGCTGGATAATATTTACTGCTGATGTGGAGTGCCAAATTAAGTGGCTCCTTGGCCAGCTTTTCCATGGCCTATCATCTAGACTCAGGTCTCTACTTAGATTTACTCTTTATCCTCTGCCTCTACTGCAGAGAGCACAACTACAATGAACTGGCCATGTTGTCGAATGCCAAACATATGCTTGACTAAAAGACTATCTTATGGAGAACTCACACAGGACAAACGTTCACATGGTGGTCAGAAGAAGCCGTACGAGGACACTCTCAAAGTTTCTCTTAAGAACTTTGGAGTTGATTGTGTGAAATGGGGGACACTGGCATGGGACCATCCAGCATGGTGCGCCCCCGTTGGAGAAAGGGCTGTGCTTTATGAGTAAAGCAGAATTGAAGTAGCTCAAAAGAAACACGAGATGCACAAATTTAGAGAACCCACTCTAAATGTTGACATGGATTATTTGTGCCCGACCTGTGATAGAGCATTCTGAGCTCGCATTGGTCTGATCAGCCACGGTCCAGTGCGCTGTAATGTGACTCTAGTATACTGATGCCATTTTGGTCTTCTTCGAGAATGAACGAGAACCATCCTCTTCTTCCATACAGCATCTGCCTATAGAACACAAGAGATGGGAAGGAGAGAAATATTAGCATGCCTCATGAGTTCTTTGATTGCATTCTCCAGAACTGTAACAGGAGGCCACAAGCAATCACATAAATGAAGAAGATAAAGTCACAGCATGATGTTCAAATGGTTCAAAAGGTTATAATAATAATAATAACAACAACAATGGTAATAGGAGTAGTAGGTTTACTTGCTTGGCCAAATTTGAAAAGGGGGGTGAAAAACAGGAAGGTTTTTTTTTTCCAGATCAGCCCTTCTGATTATTTTATGATGCTGCAGTAAGATTGCAGTCACTTCTTATTTGCTTTTATTTTGTAATTGCACAAGTTGAATGTTTCACATTGCTGAATTATAAATTAAACCATTTTTGCTCTTGTTTTTAAAAATTTTTGGTTGTATTATAAGGCTAAAAAGAAATTGAGTGAGGGTAATCATGGGTCATCAGTCATCTTTGGAAGTTTAATTCCAGAAAGCCTTGCCAATTGTTTTATGAAATCAGAATCTACCTTATTTATCAGTTGCCTCTTTTAAACTGGTTGTTATGTGGATAAATCCAAGAAAAAAAAAATATATATATATATGTTTATTTCCCTCTGGTAGAATTCAAGTGTCAAGAGTAATTCATATAAAAGAGTTTTATTGGTATTTACAGTGACCTGGATTAAACATTTCAATCCATTTAGAGAAAATTATCCAAGCGTCCAAGTATGTTATGTGTTTTGCAATTTTTACCTAAACTCACTGAGACCTTATTTGTATTTATTTTTATTTACCAGGAAAGGCAGCTATCTACCTTGTGATTTTCCATCTGTCGTTTGTCTTGTTTATGTGGTCCTATTGGAAGACAATTTTTACACCTCCTGTTTGCCCCTCCAAAGAGGTAAATTTAATGTTGGTAAAAACTATAGATTTGTCACAGAGTGAGGAATTATTTTCCTTTCTGTGGCATTTATATGAAGCATAGTACTATGCACCTGGTCTCTTTTTCGATTCTTAAGTTGCTTGATTAACTAATATTATAAATTTAAGTTATGAGCCTACTCTGAAACAGTCATGTGATTTGGTTAAAGAAACTTTAATGTCTATAGTATGTGTCTTTTAGCCTCTCTTTTGGAGCATAATATTGTTTAAAAGTTGATTTAGGGGGCAGCTAGGTGGCGCAGTGGATAGAGCACCGGCCCTGAAGTCAGGAGGACCTGAGTTCAAATCCGGCCTCAAACCAAACACTTGACACTCAACTAGCTGTGTGACCCTAGGCAAGTCACTTAACCCCAATTGCCTAAAAACTAAAAAAAAAAAAAGAGTTGATTTAGGTATGAACAGTATAGTTCTAATATTTTCCTAAATTTCAAATAAGCTTTGGGGTAACTTTTTAAGAGAGGCAAGGATGAACATGAGGATTAGTTCTTTGCTCCCTAAACAATAAAGTTAAGTTTCATTTAGAAGTCCAGTGAAGTGAGTTGTGAGTATTGTTATCCCCATTTCATAGCTAAGGACACAAGGAGTTTATTTGTCCATGATTGTGCAAACTAATAAGTGTCAAAGGTAGGATGTGAACCCAGGTTTCTGACTCATCTCTGTGAACCTCATTTTCCTCATCTCTTTCATGAGAAAGAGAGGCGGGGAAAGGACTAAACATTTATATAACTTCTACTGTGTGCTAGGCAGTATGCTCAACACTTTACAAATATGATCTCTTTTGATCCTGACAACAACCCTGAAAGGTAAGTGCTATTATCATCCCCATTTTACAGAGGAATAAACTGAGGCAAACAAAGGTGAAGTGACTTAAGTAAGTCCAGGGTCACATAGCTAGTAAGTGTCTGAAGCTAGATTTAAATTTCCATTTTCTTGACTCTAGATTCGGTGTACCATCCACTGCTAATTAAGATGGTAGACTGGGTGACTTGAAATATCCCTTTCAACCTTTAATCTATAATTATATTAACCAACAGGATCATTATGAATTAGGCTTGAACTATGAAAAACAGAAAAGATATTCATCTAGAGAACCATGGAATCATAGATTATTTTTTTTTTCCTAATAGGCAATTGGAGTTAAGTGTCTTGCCCAGGGTCACACAGCTAGTAAGTGTCAAGTGTTTGGTCTGAGTCTGGATTTGAATTCAGGTCCTCCTGACTTCAGGGCCTGTGTTCTATCCACTGTACCACCTAGCTGCCCCTATAGGATTACAGTCAGAAAGGAATTTAAAAGCTATATCTAGTAGCCCAACCCCCCTCATTTGACAGATGAGAAAACTGAGTGAGATTCAGACAGGTTAAGTAATTTGACCAAGGCCATACATATTAAGATGGATTGTACCAAAATATACAATGATATAATATTTATCCAATTAAAATTAAATAATTTAATTGTGATTACTTATATAATCTAAAAATTATATACAAGAAGTAAAACTTAATGTGTTGGTTATATAATGAATGAATTTGAAAGTAAGCTTAAAAAGATGCCCCTGAAGCAAATCTCTTATCTTATTAGCAGTTAATAAACTAAAGTTAAACTAAAGAATATTCAGGGTAGAAGAAATGACTAAGTCAGTTTAAGTATATTAGTTTTAGGAATAGTAGAATGTAAACTAGGTCAGTAAATGTTATTCTTCAGTGACCAAAGATTTTTTTTTAAAATTGAGCCCACAAATATATATAAATAAGTGGAGAAAATGAGTGATAGAAGATAGACTAAATTTCTATTTTATAAAACTAAATTTTGAATAAACTACAGGCTCTAATATAAAGAGTTAGATGAAAAAACAAAATCTAGTAATATGCTATGTATGAAGAATGTGCTTAAAATAAGAAAGACAACATGGGCTAAAAGTTTGAACTATATTTGATAATTCAAGAAAGACTGGATTATCAATCATAATATTAGGTAACAATTTAAATGGAAAAGCACTGAGAAAGATAAGAAAGGCATGACATAATAATAAAAGCCATAATAAATAATGAAATATACTATTGAATTTATGCTCCAGGTAGCATAGATACTTCCTTTGATACTTAAATTAATCTGAGTTTATCAGAATAGGTCTCCACTCATGTAGATTGCAGCCCCACCCACCTTATCATCCCTGGGTCTTTCCATAAATCTAACAAAGAATCTGTACTACTTGATGGAGACCTTTCCTGGAGCTCTTTTGAGATTTCCAGTGGTTTCATATGGAGTATTACAGTTATATTTGTCTTTCACATGTTGCTATATGAGTGAACATACTCCTTTTCCTTCAACATTGTATTTTATTGCTATTTCTCGTACACGGTCAATACTGATAATCTATTACAACCTACTTTACACCCACTATATGTTTGTCTTGGTCCAAGGGAAGAGCTTTATGCTACTTCTTATATTTTGAGAGAAAAGATTTCAAAGTGCCAAAGAAAGGATAGGGTTCTCATGGTTCAGAATTCTACAGGGTACGTCGGCCAGAGGTAGATGGGAACCTTCTAGGAATGAAGGTCTGACAACACACACACAAAAAATTATGTTAGTGAGAAAGAAAAAGAAGAGTTGTCTAGATGGAGTCATGTATACCTAGGGCTCTCATTGACCAGTTTAAATTTTTTTGTAAAGCACTTAGAGAAGGTGGAAACAAAGGCAGGTAAGAGAATTAATAAAAATGTGTGGCATGGTCCTGTAAAAAAACAGCATTGAAAATTTTAAAGCTCAGAACAAGCCAAGGGTGGTGATGAATGCTAAGAACAAAAATAAGGTCTTTTTAAAGCTGTATGAGGGGAAAAAATAGGAAGATAATAGAGTCATAAATTTAGAGCATGAAAGGATCTTAGTCCTACCCCCTTGTTTTACAAGTGAGGAAACTGAAGCCCAGAAAAATTAAGTGATTTGCCCAAAGTTTATGGTACATGACCAGTAAGGGCAAACTCAGACCCTCTGGCTTTGCCTGGGGTAGAAGGGACAGTGATAATGGATGATGGAGAAAAGACAGACCTGCTTGTCTCTCTCTCTTTTTTTCTTTTCCTGCGAAGGAGAATGATTTTTAAATTAAAAAGGAAAGAATAAAAATTGATAATAGGGAGTTGAAACCCAGGATAAGTAAGAGAACAGCTAACTGTCCCAGGTGAATTCAAGTCATTTGTCTTGGAAGAACTACATCCCAAGTTATTTGAACATAGTAGCAGATGTAATTGCCCAGCCCATTGTCAGTAATCTTTGAAAGATGATGGAGGTTATGCTTCAAGGAGGTATGAGAGTAAAAGTACCAATTTATAAAAAAGAGAACAAGAGAAAGTAAATGTGCTAACTTAAGAAAAAGGGAAGCGTAGATTGTGTAAACTCTAGGCCTGTTAGCTTGATTTCACTTCCCAGTAAAATTCTAAAAAATATTAAAGAGATGGTTTATAAACATCTAGAAAAGAAAGCAGCAACTGTCAAGAGCCAGCTTGACTTCATCAAAAACATTCATGCCAGACTAACTTCATTTCCTTTTTTAATAGGGTTACTAGATTCGTAGATTAGAGAAATGCTAGATACACTTTACCTAGACTGTCTCATGTCATCCTTATAGACAAGTTGGATAAATGTGGGTGCCAGGGTGTGCCGGCCGCGCCGACCTTGTACCGGCTGCACCGTGCACTCTCCTCCTATAAGGAGCAGGCTGCCAGAGTCATACTTACCAGTCTTCAGTCCTCAACCGGATAAACACAGAGACGAGCCTACCAGGAGGTGCCAACACCAGAGCTTTATTCAGAGGCCATCACAGCAAGGCCAAGCAGGAAGGCCGGAGCAACAGAGCAGGAGCAAAGAGAGCGCGTGATCTGACCACGATCAGTTCCTTAAGTACCTACTTAGCCCCTCCTCCTCAGCCCGCCTACTAGTCAATGATTGTAGGGTCAGATACCTGAAGGGGCTGTCTGAGTTTAGCACACCAAGGGAGAGGGAGTGACGCAGGAGGCTAGGACCGGATACAGGAAGGAGGCGTCTGGGATTAGTGCATAGACAAAGAGTACGTGACCTAGAAAGTCAGGCCCAGATACCGGGAGGAGACGTCTGGGGTCAGTGCTACACAAAGGGAAGGCACGTGACCCAGGAAGTCAGGAAGGACACAGGAAGGAGGCGTCTGGGGTTGACGTTGCACTTAGGGAGGGGACTAAGCAAAGGGAACTCATCCTCTGCTGTCCCACTCCCACGTGGCGCAGCCCCCTGCCTCAGGAGCACGTGCTCCGGCTACTTCCTTGTATTCTGTACCTTCCCCAGCTTATCTCACATAGCACTGCCCACTGCCTCAGGACTTCTCCGTATCCAGCCCATCCCAGTTCACCACAACTCCGCCAACCACAGCCCCTGCCTCGGTTACTTCCAAATACCTAGATCTTACCCCAATCTTGCCACAACCCCCACTTGGCAGTAGCCAACATCAGACAGTCCCTCACACCAGGTAGTTGGATTTGGAACTGTATGAATCGATGGCTCCCAAGAGTAGTTGTTACCACTTTGGCAGGAGATCTCTAGTAGAGTACTCCAAGGATCTTCCCTTGGACCTATACTGTTGTAACGATGACCTAGATGAGAGCTCAGATGGCATGCTTATATGATAACAAAACTGGGAGAAATAATTAAATATGTGAAGTTGTAACAGGCTAGCTAGAATGATGGGCTGATTCTATTAAAATTAAATTTAATAAAGATATGTCCTACACTTGGACCCAACAACTGAATTTCATAGTTACAGCTAGCAATGAAGAAAGGAGTATGACTAGACTTTGTGAAATAGATCGGAAGTTTATAGTGGATTGGTAGCTCAGTATGAGTCAACAGGGTAACATGGCAGCCCAAAAAGCCAGTGGAATGTTAGTCTGCTATAAGTGGGTCATAATTTAAAAACATAGGAGATGATAGTCCTATGGTATTCTGTCCTGGCCAAACTATACCTGGACTATTGTGTTGAATTCTAGGTCTTACATTTTAAGAAGGCTGTTGATAAGTCTTTTCAGAAGGGTATCTAGGACGGTGAAGGGACTAGAGACCATTTCATATAAGCCTTGGATGAAGGTCCTAGAAATGTTTATCCTGGAGAAAAGAATACTTGGAGGGGACAATATATAAGTGTGTTCAAGCTTTTGAAGGTTTGCCATATAGAAGAAAGGTTCAACTTTTTGTACTTTGCCCCAGAGGGCAGAATTAGGAAAAAGGATGGAAGATACACAGTGATATTGCTGCTAGATATATACCATAAGGAAATCAGAAACTGAAGGAATGGTCCCATTTTGAAAAAAAAAAAAAGTTTATAGTATCTCTTTTTGTAGTTCTAAAAAATTACAGAGTGAATACTCCTCAGTTGGTGAATAGTTAAATAAATAATGGCATATTAATAAATGGAATGGAATATTTCTCTGTAAGAGATAAATATGAAGAATTTAGTGAAACTTGGGAAGGCTAACTTGAACTAACTTGAACTAACACAGGTTAACATGAGCAGAACCAAGAAAACAAATTTCAGGACCTCAGTAATGTAAAGGAAAGACACTAAAAGATATCAAAACTAAAGTCAGTACAATAACCAAAACATAAAACTGATAATGAAAAATATTACCCTCATTTCAAAGAGAGGTAATGGACTCCAGGTGCTGTGTGAGGCATATGCTGCCAGTTATAGTTATTGTGTTGGTTTGTTTTGCTTTACTTTTTTGGTTATACATTTTTTGTTTTAGGGAAGGGTAGGAGAGAGATTATTGGGAAGTAATAACAGTTTAAAAAATCAATAAGACATTTAAAATTTTTAAATTAAGTTACAATTTTTTATGTGGATAGAAATTGGAGAAAGGCATTTTTAGATGTAAGAGAAATTTTCCTAGCAGTTAATAGTTATCCAGAAGCAAAATGGTCTGCTTTGAAGTAGACCTCTTACTATTATTGTGTTACTTAATACTACAGGTCTTAAAAGAAAGACTGAATGATCCTTTTTTTGTGGGGGTGGAGAGGGTAGGTTTATTCTGACCTTTACAAACATCAAATAAAGTGGGAATTATAGTAGAACAGTAAGAAAGGCTTGTACATGAAACTGCAAATGTTTGTAATGTACATTTGGCTTTTTAAGTATGTCATGAGTTTAGCTTATAACTTTCAAAGCTGTCCATCTTGTCCTTGATTCCTATAGACCTTCTCATCTCTCTGTGCATTTTTTTTTAATGTTTCAATCATCCTTTTTTGGTCACTCCTATTTTTAACTGCTTTTTTTCCTTTTACCTACTTCCCCAAATTGAAAAAGAAAGAAAGAAAAGCAAAATAAATTCTTACATTGTCCATGTACAAATTCTAAATTTTTAATCTCTCCCCTCTGTTAGGGAGGTGGACAGATGTTTTCTCATTGTTGGTCATTGAGTTGATCAGATTTCTTAAGTCTTTTAAAATTGTCTTTTCAGTGGTGTTGTTCAGTCAGTTGTTTTTTTTTTTTTTTGGTTCTGTTCACTTTACTCTGAATCAGTTCATAAAAGAATTTGTAGGCTTCTCTGAAACTATTGCGTTGGTCATGTTTTTTGGAATACCATAGTATTCCATGACATACCTATACCATAATTTGTTAGCCTTTTTGCAGTAGATAGGCATCTTCTTAGTTTGTAGTTTGCACCCTTACAAAAAAGAGATGCTCTAAATATCTTTATACATATGGGTCCTTTTCCTCTGTCTTTAATCTTTCTTGGAGTATAGTAGGCCTAGAAGTGGTTTTGCTGGGTCAAAGGGTATACACAGTTCAGTAACTTTTGGGGCATAGTTCTAAATTGCTTTCCAGGATGGCTTGACTAATTTATAGATCTGTTAATGGCCGTTTTCTAAAGCCCTACCAACAATTGTCTTTCTTTGTTGTCACCTTTGCTGATTTGATGGGTGTGAGGTGGAGTTTCAGAATTGCTTTAGTCTGTATAGTGAGTGAGATAATAAGTCAATTAGGGACGTATAGAAGGATTGCCTAGCAGTAGTGAGGACCCAGATGAAATTACATAACATGTTTGTTATGGATCTAATCAGCACAATTTGGTGATTTTTCTCTAGTGTCATTGTGTGTAGGAGCAAAGGCAGCTAATGGTGGGAGTAATCCAGGCCTGTGGTTTGGCAGAGCAAGATCTTTAATAGGATAAAAAGGCAAAGGACTTGCAAGAAGAGGACAATATAGAATTGAATTGGTTCATCAAAGAGTCAAGATGAGAAAGGAAGGAGAAATAAGCTAGGGCAAGGCTGATGGCCTGGAAGAGAATTAAGGAGTAGGGAGATTGGAAATCATGTAACGACAAAAAATAGGTTGAGTTGGGGGGTGCTTTTTACCTGGTTGTTTATAACTTGGATTTCTTCCTTTGAAAATTACCTGTTTATATCTTTGTTCCATTTATCAGTTGGGGTATGGCCCTTAATAGTCCAAATTTGAATCAGTACCTTTATATATGTTTGATATGAAAAACTTTATCAGAGAAACTTTTTGCAAAAAATTTTCCCAGTTAACTTTCTCCTTTAATGTTAGTTGCATTGGTTTTGTTTGCTGAAAATCTTTTAAATATTATGTAATAAAAGCTGTTCATTTTATCTTCAATGATCTTTTCTATGTCTTGTTTGGTCATGAACTCTTCCCCTTTCTAGTATTCTGGACTTAATTGGTATAGTGTTGACTGCAAATACGAGCATTTGACAAACTATCTAAACCCTGGACTCTGTACAGAACATCCTTCGTGACCCTTTTAAATGCTCTAGATGAGAATGTCTCCCATGCTTTTCAATGGATCGTTCAACAGTATTCTTGTAGTCACATCTTACCTTACTTGAGAAGAGCCTTGAGGATTCAATCTTTTTCTACCAAGTCAAATAATATTTTAAAATCAACAGACAATAAATGTAAGAACCTTATTTTTCTGCTCCTTCTATCAAAGATATAATACTAAGATGGTGTGATGTAGAAGTGTTTACCAGAGAGGATTTCTCTGTGTATGTAAACCGTTGTCATAAAGATTTTTTTAAAGATGTGAAACTAAACATGTAGATTGGTTGTTACTGATGTTGTTTTGGTCACCTTTTCAGTATAAAAGTATCATCTCCAATTTTTTCTATTTCCCTCCTTTTTTTAGATATTTTAAAAATCAGTCAAAATTATGTAGCCTTCTCTTGTTTGTGTTTCATCACTTCTAGGTGTTTCTTCCAGTTCTTTGCATAATGAATACATTGAGTACTGAGATGGCAGAGTCTGCAAATGTGGTGTCTGTTTTTGTTAATGAGAACAAATCAGTCAGAAATGTTGGATGGTCTTTTCCATTTTGTAGCTGTTCTAATCCTGGTTTTTGCCTACAGATGCTCTTAGTATTTTCTGGTTTGGGTTGTATCTCATGCCAAACTCTTTGCAGGCTCAGTTTCTCAATAACCTTTTTTTTTTCTTTTTGGTACCAATCAGCACTACCTTCCATTGTTATCCCATCTCTCCATTTGTTTAGAAGACCTAAGTTTGCTGCATAAGGTCTTTTCAGAACTCCTTTGGCCTATAATTGTTTTGCATCAGTTAAGTTTCTCTATGGAATAATGATAGAAGTCTTCCACCATCTCCCATTTTTCAGAGATGGTGGCTATTTAAACAGAACAGGTTGAAGCTGCTTTGATTGTATACAGTGTCTTCTCATTTTTTTTTTTTCACTTTAATTTGATAGGTCTTTTTTTGGTCTAGTTTGGCCTGTGTTCTAA